CGCGAGCGGTGGGAGTCTGCGTGTGGGGCGGCTGCGGCTGCGGCTGCTGCTGCTGCTGCTGCGGCGGCGGCGGCTGCTGCTGCTGCTGGAGGAGGAGGCTTTCATAAATTACGAGGGGACAGAGCTTTTCGAGCATGTATGCAAAACACTGTCAGAGGAAAATTAAAAGGAAATGTTTTACATATTTTTCCATTAATCTAAATGGGACCCGGGTGAGCAGAGATGGTTTTATTCTAATTCCCCGCCCGGGGATTAGCAAATAATGACTTGATGTTTTAATAGACTTCTAATGACAATATATGACAAACTAATTGCAGCCAGAAAGAAAGAAGTTAATTCTGAGGCTGTGATAATAATAACAATAATAACAATACGGTTGTTTATTGGAGCCACAGCTCAGTTTGTGGAGAGTGAAAAGTCATTAGAGGAAACGATGCTGATCAACGTGGAGAAACATTAAGTCTGAGATAATTAGCTCTGTTTCAATATTTAGAAAGATGCTCTAAATGAGTGAGGAGGGTTTCAGGGCAACTCTGCTGCTCTGCGTCATCGTCTTCTGTTCGGCCCGCGTCTAACAGTTTGTAGTATATATGAGTATATTATTCATCTTTTCGCCTCCTTTCCATAATTTCCTTTTTCTTTTTTCACTACAACTATGTATTTGTTTACTTGTTGCCACTGTATCATAGAGAGTGAATTGGTTAAACTTGAACATATTTTTTTTTGTTTGCTGCTTTTTTTAAGTTCCTCGTTGTGATTTGATGTGATTTTTATTTTTTCGCGTTTTCATTTTTTTTACCCTTCTTGCAATTCTTTTCTTTAGTTTTCTCTAGGCCTTCTATTAAGTATTTTGTTTCCCTTCTCCCCTTCCCCTTTTTTTCTCCCCTTTCCTCCGTCTGTCATGTCATTAATGTGTGATCTAAACCTCGATCTCTTTTCATGCTACCCTGCATTTTAACGTCCGCCTTTTTAAAAATATGTTTCTAGTTTAGGTTTTACTTTCTGCTAAAAACAACCAATAAAAATAATAGAAAATAACTATATTTTTATTTGTAAAATGATTTTATCCTTTAAAAATAATATAATAATTTATATTTAAATCAGTGAACTTTTATATTAATGGTGATTTTCTTTATAATATTTCTCTTGCATCACCGCACAAATTTACGTACTCCCCTCTAATTTTCTTGCGTTTTAATACGATTTAAACCAACGAATATTGAAGGAAACATCTCTCCATGTCCTCTTTGTGCACCGTTAATTTCAGTTTTTACTATTTAAATTATGCGCCGCTGCTTCTCTCTCTCTCTCTCTCTCGTCGTTTATGTTTACGGTTCGTTTGCATGAAGTGTAAAAAAAAAAAAAAAAGGAAGAAAAGCTGCTCGGCGGCCCTGTGTGTGCTGCATGAGTGATCGGCACATGTGGACCATTACTAACTTCATTTAAAGACAGCTCTTTTGTCTGCTGCTCTCCAAAGACACACGGAGCTGTGCTGAGCGTGGATGACGCAAAAAATGTTTGTTATTATTATGATTATTATTATTTCCTTCCACTGTCGCTGTTGTTTTGTGTATAATTTGAGAATAATTTAATGCGCGACACACTCCGGAGGAAAACCATCATTTTTGCTTTTTTCGTTTCCAATTTTTTGCTGCTGTTACACGGACATTGTGCGTAAAAAACTGCGGTGCACCTGTCGTTGGCGTGGGGTTTGTTTGTTATTTGTTTTTCTATCCAAAGAGGCAAAACGTTTGACAACCCTGGCCTTAGAAGATACTTCTTTTTTTCAACAAAGATATTTAGTGTCTAAACATGTCCTCAAAGTTATGGAGATTTCTTTGTCCAAATCCAAAACTGTCTTCAAAATGGGTTTAGTTAAAATAGAAACTGAGGTGAATTCACCTTCCTGAACAGCACCTCCGCTTTCCTCCACTCCCCCCCTCTCCTCCTGCTCAGATTCCCTTCTCCTTCTCCTTCTTCCTCTCCTTAACGGGGCCCAGATCAAAGGCTCTTGGCCCGGGTGGAAACCACTAAAAACCCGCCCGCTTTGTCTGCTTGTTGGCAGGACTCGGGGAGCGTTTGGGGTGGGGGGTGAAGGGAGAAGGGGGGTAACATGGTAATGAGACTTTGCAGCGACAGGAAATAATGTCTCAGGAACTTCTTTTGGACACTAAAAGTGTCCATCTGGCGTCAGACCTGACATTTTACCTCCATGGTTGTGTTCTTTTTTATACTGTTGTCCATTTTATTGTCCAAATGTTACTCCCATGTCCTGGTTAATATAAACTACATCTGGGAGTCATCATTCTGTCACAGTTAAGGCCCGGAAATGTAAAGTAATGGATGGACATTAGCCTACGAGTCTTGTGTCTTTACCTTTGTCCTTTTTTTGTCCTTGAATGCAGCAGACGGGACAGAAGTGGACAGAGAGTTTTTTTACGCGGTAGACTGAGACTGAGGAGTTTTAAAGGGCGGGACAGAAAGTAAAAGCAGCCCATAAACTGGGCAGGTCAGCGGCCAAAACACTGAACCACCGAGGGACATGAAGAGTCAGGTCTGCTCCAGCAGCAGCAGTAGCGGGGAATTATCTACAGCCAATCAGCAGTCTCTCTGGAAATGACGTTTCATTTTGGTTACTGAACACACACACACGGCTTCTTCAGCTGCTTAACGTTTTAAGAGTGCTTGATATTCGATAATATACTATTATATATGACCTAAAATATACTAAAACATAGCCAAGACCGACTATAGACGTAAATACGCGAAGAAAGCACACTAGTTACCAGTTAGCCAGAAAACTAAATCAAAAACTAAAAAAAAATACAGATAAATGTTGGCCACAGATACAGGTGGGGAAGGGTTTGATTAATGTACATAATGTTACCAAGAAGTAGTTAAAAGGTACAGAATACAGGACGCACCACTTTTAGCTCTGTTTCCCTGCACTACTACTTGGCTCCTACAGTCCACTGAAGCCTTCTGATCTGCCCCAGCTTTACTCCCCCACCTCTTCCTCCATTTCCTCCCCTTCCTGCAACTCCTCCTCCCCCTTCTCCTCTCGGAGCAGGTGGAGGGAGGTTGCGCACCTGCACGCACAGCTGCGCGCACCTTGTTATTGCCGCCGCTGCGTGACGCACAGATGAGCGCCGCAGCGGCCGGCCAACAAACAACAACAATCCCGTCAATATAAAAAGCTCTGAAACACAAAAACAACGAGAGGAAAGTTGTCACACATTCACAGTCGGCCTGTAAAGACAGAAAATATAGAATTTTGCTTCCAAAGACCGCAATAAAATCCCCTTCTATTGCCCTGATGGACACATTAAATATCGGAGTGTGATGAGCCTGCATGGTCATGGTCGGGACTCGAACACGACACCAGCCTATAATCCAATTAAACACGATAACCCTACACTCACTTATTATTCTCTTCCCCCTTTTCCCCCTGACAAGGACTCTTGGTTCGGTGTGAAAGAGGGAGTCAAGAGCCCTCTTTAATCCCAGGCCACGACTAAAAAGTGATTGAAAAGTGAAAGGAGACCCACTCAGTCTGGATGTGTCCCTTTTTGTCCACTGTTCTGGCTTTTTTTGTCCAACACGCCCATCCTGCACAATGGTGCTCCATTAATTTAGAGGCTTTTTAAAGAGGAATCACCTTCACTGAGCGGCTGACACTTACTGCTTTGTAGCAGAGCGGGATAAAAGTGAATAAATGTCACTCACTGTCTGCTATTCTTTCCCCTAAAATGCCTGGTAAGAAGCCCTTGTGTCTAAATATGGCCTGGGGGCCAGATGTGGACTGTTAAAATGTAGTGTTTGGTCCTCGAGAAGTTTTATGGACGTTGATCTTTAAGGGATTTTATTCATGGTGTGTAGTGAAGATTTCTTTTTTCATCTGTTCGGCAGCCTTGTTTCCTAATTTTGGTCATTTTTAGCTGTGTATTTTGTCTGATTTCCATTTCTCATATGTTGCAAGGTTCATTTTGAAAACAACATTTTCTGTCTTTGGAATTTAGTTGGACATTCAAAGGTGTAAACACTTGCTTTAAAAACTGTATTTGTTTTAATGGGAGACCGTTCCTGTACAACAACATTTTACGTCCAGTGTTTTCCTTAGTCCTGACTTGTAGTTTTGTTAATGGCCAGCACTTTTCTTCTTAGCAGTTTGGTATTTTATTGCACCCAAAATGTTCTTTAAAAAAAAAAAAAAACATTTAAGTTATTTGAAAAAAATCTCCCAAACTATCCCAAAATTCCCTGTCAGCACTGTGGAACCTCTGCAAGTTATTTACCCCCCAAAATACATGTTTAGGAAAATGTTGTCTGTTGGATCAGATCTGATCTGATTTATTTTTACTTTTTAAAGTGATGACTCAGTTCATGGCTGAGTTTGTGGCGTCTCTTTATGCAAAGGTTGGATTAGAACTGACCGACTGCCTCCAAAAGCGCTCTATTACAGGACACCCCCGAGCGACCGCAGCCTTGTTGTTATTATGGTTGTTATTATCGGTCCTATCAGGATGGCTCCCTTCTCTATGGGAGCTGTGACAGTCAGACAGTCAGACAGAGGCCAGGGGGGGAGAGGGAGAAGACCTCTCCTCTCTGCTGCTTTCGGTGGGCACAACGTGCAGACCTACGGGGGCGCTGTGTAATGAGGGCACCTATGGGGCCCCTCCTGGATGTGAGAAGTGTCCTAACCTGGCGTGGGCCAGTCGAAGTGAGGCAACAATTCCTTTCTCCTCCTCCACCTCCTGCGTGGGTCTTCAGCGTGACTTTCTGTGCAGAACTTTTGACAGTGATAATGATGTGCATGGCAATGCTGCTATGTTTAGGGGAGGGTTGTTAGGGGAGAGTCTGTTATGGAGGGTGGGGGACTTGAGGACCAATGGTGGTAAAAGGCATTAGTCTTCTCCACTCTGCTGTTCTCCAAATCCAGATAGAAGAACCTCACATTCATATATCTGATAACTGCTCTTCCTGTAAGATTCAAGAGTCGAAACATTGTAATGTTTAAGATCTTTAAGTTCAGATCTTGTGATAATGATGTTTGCCAAAAGATGTCAAAAAAAAAGTTAGGCCTGAACAGTCTGAAGTTTAGCAAAAACGTTTATTGATGTGAGACTTAGCTAATGATTAGTAAAAATAAACTGTTATCCCAAAACTAATTCTTTCAGCAAAGATAACCTGATATATAAAAAGCCAAATATTAAAAATTAAACTTTGTTTTGTTTGGAATTTTTTTTTTCAGCTATATTGCTTATAGTTATAAAAAGCCTTGTTAAAATAATACAATCATTTTCTGCCCTAGTTGCTTTGACTGTTTGGCTTAAGTAAATTATAGACTTGATGGTGCAGTAGTCAGGACTTTGACTGTGTGCCTTTAGGTAATCACAGCAGACTGTGTGTGTGTGACTGTGTATGTTTGCTACTTGTTGGGGGACTATCAGTCATAGTAATAAAATGCTGCCATCTCTCAAGGTTTAGTGTCACCAAGATGGATCATCTTTGATAGTTATGGTGAGATATACTGTCATTTACCATGGCAAGTGTCTGCAGAGGGCAAGAGGTGCACGTCCCCAACAGAGCCGCCCTAATTATACAATTAGTCTTGCAATTGGTAAAGTCCAGAGCTGTGCGTCCTGTGGGACACGCAGACACATTAGGGCTGTCATCAGCATCTTCACTGAGAGTCTGAGTCTGAGTGTGTCCTTAACTGAGCAGAGGAGTCAAGTTCTCTTTGACTCGTGATGATTCCTTATTTGCGAGCAGGTCCAGTCGCAGTTCAACACCTACTGCAGATGAATGAAGTGGTTGTTGGGTGTGTAAAATATACATTTTTAATTGTTGTTGACACTGCCCCCGCCAGGCTTCTTAGAGTGTAGTGTTTGAGCCCACATGATCCTTTAAGGCCTGGTGTAACTTTATCCTAGTTTGGATGTTTCTCCCTCTCGTAGACAAAACTTCAGTTGTTTCATACTGTGTACATATGTTGTCAGTACTTGACAGAAATTCCTCTTTAAGTACTACTTGGTTATGGTGAGATCCTTTGGATGCTTTCAATTAGATACAGTTCTATTAATTTAAAAAACCTATGTTGTAGTTAGTTTGGATATTTCTGTCTGTTGGACAAAACTTTGGTTGTTCTGAACTAAAGACATGTTGAGTCAGTAACTTGCAGGAATTTCTCTTTTGACTATTACTTGGCCAAAGTGTGATTACTTTATTGGTTAAAATCCAACTGTACCTAATTTGATACGATATGATAAGCTACGTTAAAGTACAATGTGATATGTTGCGATTCAGTCCAGTTCAATAAAAAATAAAAATCAGTTACAGTTTCTTTTCCACATTTCCTTTGTCTTTGTTTGACATTGAAACACCAGTGTCAAGTTTGTATGCACAGACAGGGACAGAGCGGTGGATGGACAGATGCTCAGTTGTATCCATTATAGGTCATCTTAGTATTCAATCATTCTGGTCCTAAACCTCATCTGGGACCAGTAAGAAGACACAGCCCACCATGTCTTTGAAGTCGTCTGTCAGATGGGGCCCACGTATCTCAATCTCGTTGCCTATCTAGCCATATTTCCCTTTCCTGGCTTATCCCTGGTCAGTTGGAAACATCAAGACGCCACATTCTCTCCTACTCATCCAGAGCCGTATCTGCTGGAGCCAAACCCACATCTTATGATGCCCAGGGTTCATGCAGGCACCTCCATGCAGTCAGAGGGTGGTCTTCTCTCAGCATGGAGGGGCAGGCAGTGCGCCGTCTCCACACTGGAGACCTACTGCTCATGCACTGGTTTATTACATTGGATTAGAGGCCCGACGGGGAGACTCTAAGCTGAGGATGATGGGTAACCAACTTCACCAGTTGGCTCCCAATGAACATGCAGTGGTTCCATGGGCCGCGGCCGTGAGGAGTCCAGGAGGAGAAGTGTTATCAGCTGCAGGCACAGATGATCTCCCTCCTTTCTTTCACTCACTCCCATCTTCGGGTTCACTCTGCACTTGTTCCTCACCCTTTTCCTGGGATTCACCCCTCTCTCTAGCTGTGATCCCACCAACAATAAATGCTGACCTTTTCTGCAGTGAAACCAGATGTGGTCAGGGTCAGACCTCAGCTGCTGCACATGTGACACTTTGGCACAAATCTGGCACCGAAACCAGTCTGTGGCCACAATGAAGAGACCAATTTTTGACTGTGACAATAAGAAACTCAGCAGAGGGGGATTAAAGAAGTGGGATTAAATCTGTAGATTAAAAATATATATAATATTTCCTGATACTTACTTTTTATTGAAGAGGTAAATTTACTGATTTTTCTCTTCTTTTTTCTCTTTTCTCTTCTTTTTTCTCTTCTTTTACCCTTCCACCCATTTCTGGTTTCTTTTATTACATTTTCATCATTATCTTTAAGCTAACCCTAACCATCTTTTCACTATTATTCTCTCTTTTTCCTGTTCTGACTTTACTTATTTTATATTTTGGGGCTAGTTTCAGGTATATGTTGTCTATTTTCCAATGCTTGGCTATGTCATTACTATTTCTTTTAGCTAGATTACAGCATCTTAAGAGCTAATGTGTTGTTATATTTTGGCTAGTTTGTGGTTTCTGTGCTATTATTTTTGCTCACATGTAGTTGTTTCCTGGCCAACTATGAGTCTGGTTACTGGTCATTCTCAGATTTTTGGTTGCCCTTTGGGTAATTCCTCCTTCTGACCCGTAGCCCAACATTAACAAATGGCACAAAAAATGTTATTTATTTCTTTTCAGAACTGATGATATGGCTTTTTTATACACTAAATATGTTAAGGCACAATGTATTTGTGTGGCCTTTCATTATAGTCTCACACGTCACAGTAGGAGCAAGTACTTTGCAATATGTGAAAATACAAACGGTTCAAATTGTCGTCAGATATTCAGACGCCTAACGTTGACGTTTCCTTGTGCCAGAAAAGAAGCTGTTCCTTTTAGTGCAGTCTAAACTACCTGGTAAACAGTGTCGTCCCTGGGCACGAATCAAAAATCTTCCTCTACAAACTCCATCTGCTTCTCTTTGATGGTGTAGGCAGTTCACCATTTCCCCTCCACCTGCTCGGCTCTACTTTCCAAGTACGCTGAAGCCTACATCCTGCATTTAGAGGCTTTTAGGAAAAGCCCTGTCATTCAGTGAGAGACCACTGGGGCAGCATGCTCACGCTTATCTGCACTTTAGTTTCTCCTCTCTGGCTGCTGGGCCCTATAAGGGCCAGGTAGCAGGGCCGGGCTCGTGCTGTTGTCCGTGGACGACCTTGCTCTCCTCACCTACCGCCTTGGAGTGGCTCCCAGTCCTGGGATGGGGCCTTTGGACCGACACCAAGTCTCTACCCCCACAGATGTTACAGAGCCACCAGATATGATGTCAGATTGTGAGTGATGCATCACGCTCGTCTGTGCAGGGCAGCAATGTGTGAATGTTAAAAAAAAAGAGGCCCTAAATGTTAAAATAAAAAAAATAGAGGTCACTGAGTCATTGTGTGAAAAAAAACAAAATAACATTTTATTTTATCAGGGGAGGTTTTTTTTTTTTTACAGTCAGCAGTCAACGTTAATACAACAGTGAATAAACACGATACATGAATAATACATAAAAACACATTGTGTAGACATCGTCCAATATAATAACAGTGTGAACCCCAACAGCCAATCATAAAAGAGAAAGTTACAGTTTATTAAAAATGGCAAGAGAAAGAAATTCAGAGTTAAAAACACTTATTCAGTGTGGACAAAACACTATTTCTAACTTAAAAACAATTGGATTATTCTTACATAAGGACAAATTAAATATTTTAACATTTTATTTACATTGGATTTCGTTTAAAATAATTGATAGAATTCATTCAACTCTGAGTTCAGACAGTTTTATTCTCAAACTCTCACCTTTATGATTTATTCTCCCTTAATTTAAGACACTAAAAAAAAACAACCGAGAAACGTTACATTTGCTCAATATTCTAAAATCCGTGTGGCTCAAGACTCAGCAGTGCCCCCTAGGAATAAACCGCAGAGTGTTAGGTGTTAGTGTTAGGACAGGGAGGCAGGTGTATCACTGTAGGTCAGTGTCTTATAGGTGTATCCTGAAACTGACAGGAAGAACTTTTTGGTCTGGCTTATAGCAGTAAGAAGTGCCCCGTTGTTACAGCGCCACATAGTTGACAGGGGAGGTAGAACACATGTACCAGGAGTTGTTCTTACACGTACACTACAACATCTAAAGCAACTTTCTTGAGCCCTTATGTTTTTTACCGTCATCTAGAAATGTGTTTTTAAACAAAATGTCAACAATCTTTGCTACGAAAAAATGTTAGCTATCGTTGTAGTTAAGTAGCTCAATAGCGACCCCATAGCCATCTCTAGAGAGCTCATCGTGGAAAATCAAGCTCTTGTTCTAGAATGTTCTAAAGACCCAATTTTTCCTCATTTTCAGCGATTAAGGAATCATCTTAGTGACTAGAAATGTGTCAGTTAAAGACCGACACATTTCCAGAGTTTTGGTGAGTGGTCCAGTGTGTCAGCGGGGCAAAATTACATTTGATGATTTGCTGTGAAACAGGAAGTTGTACAACGCCATGGTGACACTATTCTCCACGATCTTTATGTTTATCCTGAACAGTACAACATCCAGAACAACAACCAAAGGACCGTTCCAAAACCTTACATACATATGTACTCAGGTGGTGCTTTTAGCGCCGCCTGAAGCTTTAATTTGATGAGTTAATTTAGTGCTGACATCAGATCAGAGATGAGAATGACCTCTTGAACCGAATGTTTTCCTCGTCTTTTTAAATAACAAGACACGCTTTAATTCACACTTGGATTTTCCTCCTTTACTGCATTTAAAAACGGGAGCATCTTTTTGTATAAACTCTCAAAAATCACCGTTTTCCCCCAGCAAAAAGATAATGATGTGACTGCTGGAAACCCATCTCGCAAAGAGTTGGGAAATGACTTTGTCTAAATGTCAGCACTAGAATAAACCTTTTCCATCTCACGCTCACGCACTTTTGCTCTGCGGGTGTAATTACATGTAATTGCCAGAGCGCCACCGCCGTCAGGACACGGACGGACAGTTCTGAATATGACTTATTAAAAACACCGAAATAGTGATGCGCTCTGTGGGTCGTTGATGTAATGGAGCTCCAGTGAAACCATACCCTGGTGCAGGTCAGTGGAGTGAACTTCCCGGTGAGATCGCTGTCAGCTGTTTAACTCCTGCTCCTTTGGGAAAAGACGTGGAGAAACGCGGAGCAGCTGCGGAGGTGGCGCACACAGCGGCGCCGTTACTCCCTTTGGCGCAAAGTCCAGAAAGTGAAAAAAAATATAGGCAAATATTTCTTTACAGATCTTTCAAAATTAAAGATTTAGGATAAAGTTGCTTCCCGTCCGATTGTTCCGTCAATGACTTACCATATCTGGCCGCAGCGGCGGACGTGGCCGGAGCGCACCGAGCGTCCTTTTTTTGGAGAAAAATAAAACCCAAGTCTGTGCGCTTTGATTCTGGTGAAGGGGGAAAAACAGCAGGTCTTCGTTGGAGGAAAGATACAAAAACAATTTGATCTCGTTGTTTTCTGACTTGGACGTGAGAGTAGAGAGTGGAGACAGGTGGGAAAGTTGGATGAAGGCTGGGAACATCTTGGTTATGAGGTGATAAAGAGACGCCGAGTGTGTGTTAGTTAGAAAAGAGAGAGTCTGAACAACAGAGGCTTCACACTGTGACAAAGTTTAGACTTGGTTGCAAAGGCGCAGGAACAGGTGTGTGTGTGTGTGTCTTTGTGCTCTAGACGCACGTTGAAATAGGCTGCAGTGTAGCGGTACACCATAAAAATACACTAAATATATGTCTTCATTTATTTAAAGCCCCATAAACACAATTTTTTTCTTATTTGAAATAAAATTTTGCGGTAAAATTGAACTAATTTGCAGCCATAGTATTTACATCATTCAGTTGATAAATATTAACCCACAGCTAACTGTAGGATTTCAGTGGGTAACAATTCCTCTGATAATTGTATTATAATAATCCAGTACTCGTTCAGTATTCATTTCAATCATTCAGTAAATTTTTTAGATTACTTTTTATGATAATTTATTAATAGTGTAAAGTTTGACAAATATATTTAGTACCATGTTTCAATTCCAAGAAGGTAAAAATTTGCAGAATATGATAAATGTTGACCTAAGAATTGATGAAACGGAGATGACAGAGTTTGGCCCCAAAAACATTGCAGCTACATATATATATAGTTCAATAAAATTGAACGTTAAATACAAATCTAGAGGATTTTAGCTTTTAGCTAAATATTCAACCATAGGAAATTAACGTGCTATTCACATGCACACAGAAAGATAACTTATCCAAAGAAAAGTGTTTAGCATTTAGCATACAATGCTAAAGGTTAGCATAATTTAGCTAAAATATCATCCCGATAGAATAAACATTTACACTGTAGCACAGGGCGAGTTAAACCTTAGGTCAAATAAGATGAATATTGGCAACAAGTATAGCAGAAATCACTCAAATTGGCTACAAGAAAAATGCAAATTGGCAACAAGTATAGCAGAAATCACTCGAATTGGCTACAAGAAAAATGCAAAAAAAATAAATAAAAAAATTACAAACATGGCTAACAATGTTAGCTCAGCAGCCCAATGAGATACAGTACATTACCTCCATCAATGGGAGTGACTAAAAATTAAAAAAAATCATAGTGGACACAATTGAAGCTGTCCAAGTGCAGGACTTGGCCCGTAGACCTGATGTTGGACACGTCTACTTAGGTGAGCCACTTCCGGTTTCCAGAGGCAGATGCTGTGATGTCATTTTGACCGCAGACCCTATAACCAACAAACAAATAAATAAATGAATAAAAAGGCCTGTGGGCTCCGCTTCCAGGGCTCAATGAGTGCGGCGGATGAGGAGGAGGAAGAGGAGGAGGAGGAGGATCAGCATCAGGATCAGGATCAGGCCGCTGAAGTCTGACAGACTCCATTTGTTTTTGGCTGCTCTGAGAAATGATCATTCACAGACTGCGGCGTTTTCACTGCGACTTCTCCGCTTTGTCCTGACCACAGTCCTGGCGTCTGCATGTCTGACTCCGCCGGTTACTGATTTGCAGGCAGCGCGTTAAGGTGGCTTCGTGTAAGTGATTTCCACGGGCGTCCCACTAAAGGAGAACAAATCGGTGACAAAGGAGCGCCTTTTCCATTGAGCGGCGTCGTTAGGACAACCCAAAAAGTATTCCTCAGATAATAAGTTCTACTTCAAAGCCTTTCCCACTGAAGGGTGACTTGCTTCACTCCTTTTTATTAAGTCCCCCTCCCTTTCACTGCCCACGCAGGGAACTGTCTCTGGTCTCCTTATTTTTCATCCTGTTGATTTTTGCGACATTCATTCAGCGCTTGTTTCCAAACAGCAGACACTGGAGCATGCAGCCCACTACCAAGTGTCCTCACACCGTTAATGGCCACGCACAAAACCATGAAGAGTTTTTTTCCCTCTCTTTTCCTACATGAATGTAGGAGTAGATTAAGTGTGTGCGCGTGCGTGCGAGCGAGCGTGTGTTTTTCAGAAACGGTAGAAACTTAAATCGAACAACAATTACTGTATACTATTTATTTGTTGTTGTTGTTTTATTTATTTTTTGTGCAGTATAAAACGAGCTTTAAAGTACACATGCAGTGCAGTAGACCGTACAGCAGACTGACCCAGGACCAGATCCTGGAGCAGATGTGGAATAAGATCTGACTCCACCTGCCGACATCGTAGTGTGTCTGAAAACATTTAGGTCCTCATACAGTCCATTTCCATTTATCTGAACCCAGTTCTGAACTGTCACATCATAAGGACCAAACTTTGGATCCTGATGTTTGAAATAAGTGAAAATCTTGACATCAACTTTAAGCCTTTGTTTCGATGACTGACTTCAACTGTTGTTCATTTGATTTGTTGCCCACGTTGCTTTCATGTGGTTATGCTGCTGCGGCCCCATCTGAACTTTGACCTCAATGTGGGTTAAATAAAGATCAAAGGTCATCAATATAATGATAATAATAATAAAAGTGACCCAGTCTGGTACTTCTTTAACTGTTCTTGAAGGAGCTCAATCGGTTCTAGTCCCATTATGGACTGAGTTTGCACTGAGTTCTGGATCTGTCGTTCTGCTCTGTTCTAAAATCTATCTAGACCAGCTTTATTAGATCAAAGGCTCTGACAGGTTCTGGTTGGAACATGGACAGTATTTGCTCTCTGTGATCCAATAGGAAGTATTTGTATCATGATTGATATCATTATTTCACATCTACAAGTTTCTTGTTTATGAAAATAGTCTGAAACAACGGCTTGTTTTGTCTGTGACCTTAAATGAAATTGTGACCCATTTGTGGGCCTCGACCCAGTCTTTGGAAACATCTAAATTGAATTGAACCCACAGTCCACATCTGATCTGTGTCTCAGTTGATGATGGATGAAACTGTCTAATCTGAAATCTAAATGAATCATATCTGTTCTATATTTCTGTGTTAATCCATAATCCACAGTCAAGAACAGTCGGATCTGATTTCCTTTCATCCAGATTGCTTCATATTTTCTGTAAATGCAAAAAGAAGAGTGTATGCTAATGAGCTAGGTCAAAGTTCAAGTATATTATTTGTGATATCTGTTGATGAGGAGCTGGTGTTTGGATGGAACGACTAAATCTAGACAACATTTGAAGCGTCTTCTCAGCCGACTGCAGGTGTTTCTTTTAGATATTCTGTCTTTCAGCAGACGAACTCTCTGTCGTTCACCTGTGGATTGTTGCATTTGTGGTTCTGGCGGCATCGCGTGCCATGATTAGACTTCATTTAGTGTCACTTGTTGTGTTTTCCCCTGGCAGATGTGAGGGTCTCACCAACCCACTGCCATAGAGATCCTAACGCGCCATGAAAAGTGTCAAAAATGAAAGGACGTGCCTCTGCAGAGGCTGCAGCCTTTGAAGTGCTCCAGGACTGGCGTTGGTCAATTTTCATTCTGTAGCCTGGACAGGCCGCT